TCATGATCCACAGGTTGCAAACTGCTGGTGTAGATGTAGTTGAGGCTCTGGAGCATCTGAAACCTATAGACAGAAACAGAACACAGTTGGCTTACAGCGCACATCAATTCTGGAACATGAAACCAATGGCAATGAGCATTTTGGTTGCCTTCCAAGGGTAGTCCTAGACCTTCCCACTCTCCAGAGGGAGAGGGGTACCAAGTCAAATGATTAGAGTGGCTGTTCTTCCAGCATGGTCAAGCAGCAGGGCTCTGAGCCACGGTCATCTTTTCTGTTTGTTTCTGGCCTCTGGGAAGCTGACAAACGAATTCGTTTGTGTGTACACCTATGCAAATATGCACACATTTGTTTACAGTTCAGGAAATTGCCTTTGAAGTCCCTTCCCACACAAGGGATTAATGAAGTCTGATTGAGAAGCCTCTGTGGTAAAGCAGGAAACATGTTCTGGCTGCTTTACTCTTACTCGGGACTCTGAACTAGTTTTGGGTTGTGCTTGAACACAACGGATCCTGGTGAGTGGTGAAGTGTACAGGGAGGTCTGGCTCTGGCTTCTGGGCCTCACAGGGTGTGTGTCTTGAGAATAGAAGATGAGAACACCTTTGCTAAATAATAGGATGTGATGTGTGCTAGGAATTGGATCTCAACTGGTTTTACTTTCAGGTCTTTTTGGCCACAAGCTTGCAAATGGCTGCCTCTCCCAGACTGATGGGGGCAGTGTAAATTGCTCACTTCCTTTGTGGTACCTTAAGCAATGCCAATGAATGTCACTGAGCCAGAAACAAGGCTGGCAGTGAGGAAGTGCCCCCCACGGGGGGGGGGGGGGGGGGGGCAGCGCGAATCATCAGTTTGTCCCTCCCCTCCTGTGCCTTCAGTGCGTGCCTTCAGGTACATGTTCGGACGCTTGGCTTTGTTTACTTGAGCCTTGGAGTAGAGAAAATAACCTGGGCTGTTGACCACTTTGGCTCCCTGGTGCCTCCCAAGCGTTTCATGTGAGAGATAAACATCTGTTCTCTACAAGTCATGTTCCAGTAGGGGTTGTTTCTGAAAACGGTTTACCCTGGGCTTGCTCTGCCGCAGGTTGTTGGAGACTTGTTCTTACCTCACAGTGGAGAGTGTTAGACACTGCTGCATCCCTGTGTGTGTGGGGAGAGGCCCCTTGTTCTCTTACCTCACAGTGGAGTGTGTGTTAGACACTGCTGCATCCCTGTGTGTGTGGGGAGAGGCCCCTTGTTCGCTTACCTCACAGTGGAGAGTGTTAGACACTGCTGCATCCCTGTGTGTGTGGGGAGAGGCCCCTTGTTCGCTTACCTCACAGTGGAGAGTGTTAGACACTGCTGCATCCCTGTGTGTGTGGGGAGAGGCCCCTTGTTCGCTTACCTCACAGTGGAGTGTGTGTTAGACACTGCTGCATCCCTGTGTGTGTGGGGAGAGGCCCCTTGTTCTCTTACCTCACAGTGGAGAGTGTTAGACACTGCTGCATCCCTGTGTGTGTGGGGAGAGGCCCCTTGTTCGCTTACCTCACAGTGGAGTGTGTGTTAGACACTGCTGCATCCCTGTGTGTGTGGGGAGAGGCCCCTTGTTCGCTTACCTCACAGTGGAGAGTGTGTTAGACACTGCTGCATCCCTGTGTGTGTGGGGAGAGGCCCCTTGTGAGTGGTTCACTTTCTGACAGAGTGTGTCAGAATTGGGGTTTGGGGTGGTGGTTTGGTGCTTGTAGAACAGAAGCAGAAGCTGATCTGCAGCATAGAGAGACCAGACAGAACTGAGATACTCCTGCTGACAGCGCCAACCCCTACACTCGGGCTTCCGGAAGATGTCACTCCTAACCTACTCAGGAATTTGCAGGCTGGCCTTGAACTCCTGATCCTCCTGCCTCCACCTTCAAATGCTGGGACTTCAGGTGTGTGTTACCACACTCACTTGAGACATACTGAGTTTCAGAACTATAACTGTCTACTCAGGGTAGCTACTGTTTCAGTTACCTGTACTGTGTAGCTCTCTGGGGACAGACCCCTTGGGAGCAAGGGATGTGAGTCCTTCCAGTTACTCTCCAAAGCCTTTGCCAGCACTGCCATTGAGCTGGAGTTAGACTTGACTTTGAGAAACCCCTCCTTACTGAGAGATGAGCTCAGTACTTAGATCATCAACATTATCTTAGCCCTTGGCAGAGTGGGAATGGAGAACACTGAGAGGCAATGAACGGATAGTTCCTGACTAGAAACCTTTACAAAGACTGGCTTGGCTACGCATTAGAAATCACCCTGATGGAGACAGTGTGGTATGCAGAGATCAGGAGCTTGGGGTAACATGCCAGGTTTGAAAGAGGACAGGTGCCCAGAGTAGGTTACATCTCAGCTCTCTCCCAGAAGCTGTCAAGTCTTCCAAGGCTTTCAAATTCCCAGTGGTGTCTGAGCCTACTAGCCTACTCAGTGAATTTTATTTTTCTTAAACCTCCCAAACTTGAAGCATCAGAATAAAAGTCCCTCCCTTGTTGAGTCTCAAGTGGAGTGACTGTAGGGAACCATTCTGGGGTCACGACCTGGGTGGGTGTGCCGCTATGGTTGGAGTGTGCACCTGGGAGGTGAGCAGATGAAGGTATCAACTGGGAAATTCTGCCGTAAGGACCGACTCCAAGGAAGAAGTCCACCCTGTTCCCGACTCCCATATTCATCCTCATGTGTGAGAAGGAAGAAAGGCTTGAAGTTGGCTTAACGGGCCTTAACGGTAAACAGGAAGTCTTAGAACAGATTTATTATAAGTCTAGTGAAAGCTGGCTGGCTGGGCATGGTGCACAGCCTTGTAATCCTAGCACTCAGAAGGCTGAACTTGCAGGAGGATTGAAAGTTCAGAGCCATCCTAGGCTACCGTGTCTCCAAAAAAAAAGTGAAGACTACCTTAGTGGTCGTCTTGATTGATTTCGTCACCTCTCTTCAGTAGCCTCTGCTGTCACCACCCAAGCATTCAGACACCCACCTTCCATTCCTGTTCAATATACCCTACCCCCACCCCATCACACATACAGGGGATCAAGTTCCCCCCAGAAAAATAACCATTTCCTCTTTGGAATGAGGGACACAAGAGAATCATTTTTTTGTGGTCCAGTGAATGAGTGAATGACCTTTGTTTGCTGTTAACCCTGCCCACGTAATTCCAGTGTGTTTCTGGTTCAGCCCCTATCGTTTGTGTTCATGTGTGTACTTAGGTACTTGCGTGTATATGCACAGCATGTGAAGGCCAGAGGACAATCTTGGGTGTTGTCTCTCAGGTCCAAACACTTGTTGTTTTGAGGCTGGGTCTCTCGTTGGCATGGAGCTCACTGTCTCTGCCCCCTGCCCCCAGCACCAGGATTACAAACACACTACCTTGCCATTTCTCTGTCTTGTTTGTTATTTTTGTTTGTTTGTTTGTTTGGTTGATTGGTTTTTGGTTTTTCAAGACAGGGTTTATTCTGTGTAGCCTTGGCTGTCCAGGAACTCACTTTGTAGACCATGATGACTGACCTTGAACCCACAGAGATAAGCCTGCCTCTGCCTCCCAAGGGCTGGGATTAGAGGTGTGTACCACCACCACTGCCCTGCATTTTTTTTTAAGCTTTTATAAATTCTGGGCATCAAACTCTGAGGTCTTCATGGTTACATGGCAAGTACTTTGCTGGCTGAGCTGTTCCCCATCCCCTTACCAATCTCATTTCCAGTGTTTCCCCTTGGATTTCATTGTGACTAAGGGACTTTTTAAAAATTACACTTACTAACTGGGTATGGTGGCGCACGCCTCTAATCCCAGCCCTTGGGAGGCAGAGGCAGGCTTATCTCTGTGGGTTCAAGGTCATCCTGGTCTACAAAGTGAGTTCCTGGACAGCCAAGGCTACACAGAATAAACCCTGTCTTGAAAAACCAAAAAAAGAAAAAAAAATTACGTTTACTCATTTGTGTGTGTGTGTACATACATGTATGAAAAGCACAGCACAGGTGTGGCCATCAGAGGATAAGGGCTGAGAATTGGCTCTCTCCTCCATGACCGAGTGGGTCTCGGGGATCGCACGGGTTTGGCAGCAAGCGCTTTACTCTGAGCCATCTCACTGGAACAGCATCTTTTTTTCCCTCTCAGATAGTCTCAGCATGTTGTCCAGGCTGAATTCCTGGGCTCAAGCCTCAGCCTCCTAGAGCTGAAACTACAGATAAATGCCATCATACCTAGCTTCTGATGTCTCTAGACATCTCAGGGTCCGCTGTCACAGGCAGAGGGTGTCCCCCGCTAGTTTGGGGCTCTCTGAGGTTGGAGTTCTGGAGCTCTACCCTGAATGGGGACGAGCAGTTGAAGGGGCCACTTTATACAAGAAGATTGATGAGTGACCTAGGACCAAATTGTAATCGGGAATAGAGGGTGACTTCTTTTTAAAAAAAATTATTTTTTTTAGCTTTATTTTGTGTGTGTGTTGGTACACACATACCATGACACACATGTAGAGGTCAAAGGACAGTTTGGAAATGTTTGCTCTTTTCTTCCACCTTGTGAGCCCTGGGGATTGAACTCAAGTTGTCGGTTTTGGCAACAAGTGCCTTAACCCATTGAGCCATATCATCAGCCCAGATGGCGGGTCATCAGGAATCTAAGGAGAAGAGGCCCCTGACCCCACCCCCAGATGCACGCAGTGCCTTCCCCATCAGGATCTTTTCCCACCTGCGGATGGGTAATCTTAATCTGCTATTCTGAGATCCTGCCCTCTGCCTTATATGGCCAAGGAAGCTGCTTGTTACTGCTCACTCGTTTATTGAGCCCCACTGTATGTTGGGCATAGGATACATGGTGTGAAGCTTACCCTGTAATACATAGGCACGAGAGCTTGGGCGCAAGGGAGAGCTGGGTCACTCCAGCTGTGAGGCAACACTGCTTTGTGTGCCATTGCTACCTGATGTCAAGAGTCCTGGGAGAAATGCAGGGTTCAGTGCAGCTTGCCATGAAATGCCCGAGCTGAGGACAGAAGACACTGGACTGTTGGCCTGAGGTTCTTCAGCTGTGATGTTCAGGGAAAGATGGGCATGGCATCATTGGGGAAGTGTCCTTTAGGGCTCACTCTGAACCCTGGTCATCCTCTTCTGTGCCCAGGGAGAATGCTACACGTGGCTGGTGATCGAGAGAGTCTGGCCTTCCTCTTTGACTCCGGAGGCCATCTGTGGCCACTGCTCCAGCCCCTGCACTCTGGTGGTGTGTCTCTTGTCTGCAGGTTCCTAGAGCAATGAAATTACAGGTTTATCTGCCACGTCTCCAGCCAACCCTCGCTCATCATCCACAGAAAGGGGAATGGTATCCTAAAGCCCGAAAGAATTTCCTGAGGACATGGAACTGCCACTGACCAGGAAACTGGTTTTGTTACTAGCTCACTGTATGGCTTAAGACAGATTACTTTCTATCCCTGGAAAATGGTGTCTGTAAGCAGCCACCTCACCCCATGCATGTAGAACATTTATTTCAACTTAATATCGGGGTGAATTCCAGAGACTCTCTGGAAGACTCATACCCTGAGAAAATCTCAGGGGAGAGTTCATTCCTGTCTGTCTTCCCAATAGCCAATGTTCTATCTGGAAAGATAGGGAGGAGCCAGAAGTCAGGCAGGACATGGAAACTGGAGCTAGCTCAGTGTGACCTGCATCCGACCACTGTTGGATCTGCTGCACTTCTTGTGATGGCTCACTAGCTCTCTGCTCCTCCCCCAGCCTGAATTGTTTATTTTCATGCCTGGCTTCAGGGACCACTTAATGACAATTGTTGACTAAGAATTTCTTTAAATTCCCGACCTAGGAATCAACAACTAGGACTTTACAGACAGACAAAGATAGGAGATGGGCTCCACTGAACCTAGAGGACGTGGGCTAGGGAAGATGCAACTTCACCAGGGCTGGCGAAATGGCCCGGCCTGTAAAGGTACTCATCACCATGCCTGGCCACCTGAGTTGAGTCTCTGGCATATGATGAAAGAAAAAAACCAACTCTTGCAAGTTCACCTCTGACCTCCATATACATACTGTGGCACACACAAACACAAGTACTCAGCAGACCAGAAGGAGCCTCTCCCATCTCTTGTAACTCAGTTCCTGCCTCCCATGGACCCTTCTGCTGGATAGAATGGTATAGGAGGAGCCCATTCTGTCTGATGGCAGCAGACGCCGGGCCGTTTTCCCATGATGCTCTTGTCACCCGTTAGATGCCCTCTCCTACCTTCTATGGACAGACCTCTTGCACCAAGGAGGTCCTGCGCTATTCGTCCCAGCTGATACCCTGGTGAGGGAGGAAAAGAGGTAGAGAAGAGAGGAACAGGAAAGGAAGGCTGCCTTGGGCATGGAATAAGGACAGGCAGGGTAGAGCTGGGCCTTCCAATTGCAGCTTTTCTCACTCGGGAGGTGAAGGAATGCCCTGGACCCGTCCATTCATCCATGGCTCTGCTCATCAAATCCTCCCTCTTGCTAGACCTTTCACCAATATTTCCATGCTCAGAAACTAGGCTGAGTGTTAAGGATGCAGAGTGACTGAAGCCCTGGGTCTTCTGTGTGGAGTTTCCAGGCTGGGAACAACAGCCATGTGACGTGGTAGGACTGCACAATGCAGTGTGCCGAGGGGACCACCACCACCAGAACATGGAGACAAGCTGTCTGCTCAGGAGGGGCAGGCCCACGTTAGCTACTAAGGATGGGGCAGTGAAATCAGTAATGGCCCCAGAGGGCATGAGGGGGCTAGGCCTGTTGCGCACAGCATTCAGGAGTTGTGGGAACAAGTTGGTGTTTGCTGTGCTGTTTTGTTTCATTAGAGACAGGTTCATGCTTTGTAGTCCGGGTTGGCCTATAATTTGTAATCCCTCTGCCTCAACCTCCCAAGTGCTGGGATTACAGGTGTAATCTGACCCCTCTTGTGATTCCCTTTCTGCTAAAGGGCTTAAGTAGAATAAAGCCTACTTGGATTTGCAGTTCTAACATCCTCAAGGGGCAAGGGATTGAATCTCTGAGCTCTTCCTGGTTGATTCATTTTCTTAACTCTGGTAATTCTGAAGCTCTGGCCCTGTCTCCCACCCCTGCAGGCATTCCCAGGGCAAGCATATCCCACCCTTTGGGGGAAATAAGCAGAAAATCCATCTTCTGGTCAAGTCACAGCAGCCCTCGAATGGTACCACAGTGCCAGCCAGGCATGCCCCCAGAGAACTTCACTGCTTGTTCCAGGGTAGCTAATGGCCAGCACAGTGTGCCCCGCCCCAGGAGCATGCTGAGGGTAGACCAGGGTAGCACTCACCCATTCTTTCCCTTGGCTGAATTGGACGTGTCCCTGGAAGGAGAAAGGGATGAAGACTGAACTGCTTCCCTGGAGGCTTAGTGAGAGATGTGAGGGGTTTTTCACAGGGACTCTAGGAACCCCATTGTCCTTGTGTCACAGTGAGAATGTGCTCATAGGAGGCAGTAGAGCATGCAGAGATTGACATCACTGGGACTTGGCATCAGCCAGGAGGCATCCTTGGGAAAGTTCTTATCAGAACCTCAGTCACCTACTGGGCATATGGGGGTGTTGTTGACATAGTGATCGGGCCATGGTGAGGTTCTGCTGTGCTCAAGGGCACAAAAAAAAAGTTTTTGAGACAAGGTCTTACCATGTAGTCTAGGCTGGCCTGGGACTTGTACTGAGCTTCCTGTTCTGCCTTCTTAGTGCTAGGATTACTGGCATGTGTCATACCCAGCCTGCTTAAGTATTTTGTTTGTTTTGCTTGTGCTGGGGATTAAACCTCAGGCCTTACAAATGGCAAACACACCTCTTTTACCATTGAGACCCATGCCTAACTAGTGCTTCATCTTTTTTAATGTGTGTGTGTGTGTGTGTGTGTGTGTGTGTGTGTGTGTGTGTGTGTGTACATACGTACATAAATGGAAGCCAGAGGTGAACATTAATTGTCTTCCTGAATCAATGTCCACTCTTTTTTGAGTCAGGGCCTCTCACTGAGCCTGACGCTCACCAATTCGGTTTGACTGGCTGGCCAGCAAGTCCCCAGTATCATCCTGTCTTTACCTCCCCGGTGCTAGGATGACAGGTGTGCTGCCTAGATTTTCATGTGGTGTTGAGTGCTAAATTCAGGTTCTCATGCGTGAGTGGCAAGCACTTTACTAATCGGGCCATCTCCCCGATTCCCCCCACCTCTTTTTTTTTTTTTTTTTTTTTTGAGACAGGGTCTCATGTAGCCTAGGCTGTCCTCAAACTCACTATGTAGCCAAAAATGACCTTGAACTTCTAATATTCTTGTGTCCACCCACCAAGTGCTGGGATCACAGACATGTGCCATCATGTCCCACTTATGTTCCATATTTTGACCTTTCCCCCACTGGTTGTCTTATGTTTTGCAAATTCTTGCTGTTATGAACAACTTGGCAATGAACCCTCCTGTGGTGCAAACATCTTAGGGCTCCCGTGACATTCTCATACAAATTTAAGATTCTCTGATGTGAAACCATTGGTCAAAAGTGTACATCCTTTAATCCCAGCACTCAGGAGGCAAAGACAGCCTGATCTCTATGAGTTCCAGGACAGCTTGGTCTACAGAGTGAGTTCCAGGACAGCCAGGACTACACAGAGAAACTCAGTCTGAGGGAAAAAAAAAGTACATATTTCCTACTTTAATGGATGCAGCCAGTGTGCTCCAAATGGACAGCACAAGTGCCAACTAGAGCATGTCTACTCAGGACAACAGTGTTGAAGAAAACAGCAAGCCAAGAAAAATTGGGCTCTGTCCAGTGTGACTTCTCTCTGTCTCTGGGATAGCTTCCCTGTTTCCAGTACCCTCAGGTACACAATAACTGTGCTTGAAGGGCACAGAACTGGCTGGAAAGCCTGCCTTACATCTAGATGCCACTGTCCATTTCCCAACACTCCCCATCACCCAGGTATGGAACCAGGGTGTAAAGCATCAGCCCTGCTCCTCGTGTGCTGGACAGCCCCTATATACCTGTTGCCATTGGCAGTCCCTACAGCATCCTGCTTGGATGATGACCAGTAGGGACAGTGGACCTCAGCATCCCATGAACACCCTCTACTTGGGGTTGCAGAAGCCACTCAGAACCACGCCCGCTCCCTTTGCCACTTACCCTCCACCCGCTTCCCCATCAGGCCATAGAACTGGCGAGTTCTGCTGCTCTTCGTCTCCTGAAGCTGGAGTTCAATGCTGGCAACAGGGATTCCCTGGAGAAGCCGAGAGTTAGCATTAGAGTATAGATCTGTTGAGACAGCGGAGCCATAACCATTTCAACAACAGCTTGGCACACAGGTCTTTTGTATATTTTACCCCAAACACTGTGTTAATGATGATGTAAAATTGCACCTGCTGTGTTCCTGGTACCGTCCCAAGCACTTTGATTTAGTAACTCACTAATTCTCACCCAAACCTCATGACAATAGCCCAGTATTATTGCTGTCAGCATTGTACAGATGAAGATATACAGGTAATGGAGATGAAATAGTATGTCCAAAAATAACTGAGAAGTGGAGTCAGAACTTGAACCAAAGCCATCTGGATCAAAGGGCAGGCTCTCAAACACTCAGTCAGAATTTCAATATAACTATAACTACCATTAAGACTATGGAGCTAAGGGGGCTGGAGAGATGGCTCAGCGGTTAAGAGCACTGACTACTCTTCCAGGGGACACAGGTTCAATTCCCAGCAGCCACATGGCAGCTGACAACTGTAACTCCAAGATCTGACACCTTCACATAGACATACATGAAGGCAAAAGCACCAATGCAAATAAAGTAAAAATAAATTATTTTTTTAAAAAAGACTATGGAGCTGAGCATGGGGGCATATGATGGTAACCCCAGCATTTGAGTGGCTGAAGCAGGAGCATTGTGAGAACAAGGTCAGTCTGAGCCACATAGCCAAAACACTACCACCATCAATCACACACATCCACACACAAAGGCAGAAGCAGGAGGATTGCCCAAAACTGGAGGTTAAACTAGTCTATTGTAGTTCCAGGTCAGCTAGGGATAAAGAGTAAGACTGTCTCAAAAAGAACGTGTGCCTGGTGGTGGTGGTGGTGGTGCACACCTTTGATCCCAGCACTCAGTAGGCAAAGGCAGGTGGATCTCTGAGCCTGGTCTACAGAGCTAATTGGAGGATAGCAGGGCTACACAGAGAAACCCTGTCTCAGAAAAGAACAAACAAAACAAACAAAACGTGTGACTCCTGTCCATTTTACATATGTGGAAATTGAGGTAGCTAACTAACCCTGATCAGGGTAACAGAAGAAGCTGAAGCAGGATTCAAAGGTCTTGAGAAATGTCATCAAAAACCAACAAAGACCTCACTTAACAGCAGGCCAACCAGGGCTAATGGCTGTTCTCTCTCCCATTATCCCAGATTTACCCTTCCCAGAGCTGGGCATCCAGAGAGGAGTCCCACATGGGGTCTGGGTGGAGCTATTGCCCTGGAAAAAGCCATTTTAATCCTCTAGTCTAGCCCAATTGGCAAATATCCTTTCCAACGGCTGTAAATCTAAGTTCTCTCCCCACCTCCCTCCCTCTGTGACCTTGACTCTCTGAGGGAGCACCGTTTTTATGACCATCTCTGAACTGAGACAGGTAGGAACCGCCTTTTCCAGCAAGGCTGAAGACAGGCCACACCCTCGAGGCTGTAGGCTGGGAGCTGGGGACAGCTCAGTGACTCGGGGCTGGTGTAGGATCACAGGACTCCAGGGATCCAGCTGGGAGTCAGGGAAGACCCATGGGCTGTTTGGGACTTGTCACACCCTGTTTCCATGATCGATTGTTTTCTAAGTGTTGGCCTAATTCAGTCTCCCAATCTGTCTCCTCCCTGAGATGTCAGTGGCTGGGGCAGCTGTCGCCAGCTGGAGTCGCCCAGCCTAGCCAGAAACCAGAGAAAAGTCTCTTTGGAGATTTAGGCCCATCTTTGAAAAGCTCACGAAAACCACTTTGCCTTAATAAAGGCCATCCTTCAAGCAAGAACTTGAAAGATCTTTTACGAATTAAATAGAGCAGACCCTTCTATCCACCAGGTTTCTGCTAGGGGAGGGGAAGCATTAGGAAGGCCATTCTGTTTTACTCAGAAAGCCCAGTGGTGGCTGCAGGCAGGGCACCCTGGGAACTGGGAGCCATCAGATCATCCCATTCGTAGTGACACTTAGCAGTCCACAGAGTCAGTCTGCAGGACTTCTGGTCACATATCTAGCCTCTCCTCACTGCTGCTGGATGAGCTAACTGACTGCAGGTGGAAGCCAGAGCGGCCAGTGCCGTGTGAAATGGATGACACTTCCATATGGCTGTAGCCAGTGTTCTCTATGATCCAACAGGACTTTCACACATTGCATGTCTGTCACTGACTCAAAAAAAAAAAAAAAAAAAAGTCAGCTCCAAATGAGCTAGGGGTTAGCTTCTCTCTCCCTCCACCTCTACAGGTAAGGAAACTGAGGCTGAGAGTAGCAGGAGTCCGTGGAGAAGCTGAGACTTGAACCCAGGTCTCCCAGACCTGTCCTCTCCCACTGCCCACCTTTCCCTAGTCAAACTAGAGAAGACCACCTCAGCAGGCCTGTCTGTGCACGGTTTTTATCTGGGGTCCGATCTTGAATCTTCCTCTTCTCCTTAGGCTGGCCTTGAACTCCCTATGGAACCAAGAATGACCCTGAACTTCTGATCCTTCTGCCTCGACCTCCTGAGTGCTGAGACAGCAGGCATGCACCACCATGCGGTTTTATGTGGTGGTTATGTGGATTGACCCCAGGACGCCGTGTGTACTAAACAAGCCCTTTACCAACTGAGCCACATCCCTAACCTCCCAATCCTAATAGCTTCCGGGGACCTTACATGGCCCAGCAACACACACCAACATCAGCTGAGTGTCCTTTCCATCCTGGGACTGTGGGGAGATGGGCTCCAGTTACCCTCCTGGTTCCTAGGTCAGGGATTGGAGCTCCAAGGCCAGGGCCTTCGCCTAGGTCAGAGGTATTGAATCTCAGAGTAGGTTGGGGCTCCAACTTTTAGATTTCTTTCCAGTGGCAGTACTTGGGAGTTTGGTAGTCACCACCATAGTCAAACACTGGTGCTTGTCGGGGGACCAAAGTGTTTCTTCTGTGTGAGACAGAATAGTAATCCTGCTCTAGTTAGTCCCTTGAAAATAAGTTCTCTGATGCTCAGATACAGAGTCAGAACCTAGCTAAGGTGGAAGCCATACTTTTGAAGCAGTACATCTTAGACAAGCTCCTTGACCTCTGTACCTCAGTTTTCTCATCTGCAAAATGGGGAAAACAATGGTAGTTTCCCCATGAAGTTGAAACAAGTTACTGTTTATAATATAGACAGTCGGGACAATATGAGGAACGTTGTAGGTGTTAACTAAGTGTTTCTATACACACAGCACACATTGTTGCTCTCACATGTACAAGCCGAAAGTGCCTCTGATGGCTGGACAGATCAGGGCTCGTGGCCTTGACCCTCCCCAGTCAGGGGAGTTGAGTAGCCTGCCTTTCAGGGTTTGGGGTACACTCTGCTATCCTGGCAGCCTCAGAAGGAATCTCCCAGCCCTCTGCCATGGGTCATCAGCTCAGAAAGGTACCTTCAGGTTCACGGTCACCCAGGACTCTGCTTCTGTGCCGAGTGTCCGTTCCTCTCTGTCCCCTGCTGTCCTGCACACTGACGGCCCAATCAGGAGACACAGGGCAAGGAGGGGCAGCATGGTGAGCAAGTGCTGCTCTGTCCAGGGAGGCCAGGAAGCCCCTCAGCCTGATGCCACCTCCTTCAGCAGTCCAGTGTGGGTGGAAATCTTCCCGTGTTCTCCGGGCTTCCCGGCTCCTCTGCTTCCTTCCTGTGGTAATCCCATCTTTGGTCTGCTTCACTAACTGTCTCTCTTCCTGGCTGCTTGAGCCAATCCCATCAAGAGCCTAGACCTCCCCATCGCCACCCCCAACATTTGATCCCAAGGCTTAACACCGATGCAATGCCAGCCTCACCTTTGGCTGGGTTCCCTCCTGTGACAGGTGCACAATGGCGTCGTAGGTGGGGCCTGGAGATTGCAGCTTGCCAGGGACAACCCCTAGGGCAGTATCTCTGCTGCTGGAAATGGGAAGTGAGCTGTATGGCGCTTCCCTTCCTGCACTCTCAAGGTTGGCCAGTATGTCACTGCCCATCAACCACTCCCTCTCCACCTCTTCTTCCTCTGCACTCTGCCCATCCACAGCCTCCGCGTGTGCTTAGAGCCCACTGCTTGCCCTGGGAGGTGCCAGTCGTTAAAGAAGCGAGGCTTCTTGCAAGTGGGAACTGAGATTTGCCAGAAAATGGCCTCTGAGTCCAAACATCAGCCATTGACCCTCAGTGATGTCCCACTATTGCCAAAATGACCTACCACTGCACCACACTTGTCCCCTCTACTTGTAGCCTGTGTGCCTCCCTGTCCCTCTTCTTTCTCTGAACTCCAAGCTCCTGAGTATGTATGCTCAGTCCCTGTCTGTTCAGCTCCTCCCTCTGCCTGGCCATCCATCCGTCTGTCATCTGTCAATCTGTAACCAGGGCCCTGTGGTCAGAGACCCAGGGTCCACTTGGAGCATCAATGTTGGATAGCTTTGTGACCCCTGGCTATAACTTAACCCCTGTAAACCATAGGACCCTCCTGGGTAACACAAGGCTGAGGATGAAGCGACATAATGCATGTGGAACATTCAGCAGAGTATGGAAAGGTCAATATTTAATGTCTGTTAACTATTGGTATTGTTACTTTTGTTTCTTTTTTGAGATAAGAGTTTCTCTGTGTAGCCCTGGCTGCCCTGGAACTCGCTCTGTAGACCAGGCTGGCCTTGAAATCAGGGATCCTCCTGCCTCTGCCTCCTGAGTGCTGAGATTAAAGGCATGTGTCACCATGCCCGGCTATTATTATTACTATTATTGACTGCATGGGAAGATGATGAAGATACTGTGCCTGACCTCGTCACCAGAAATCTCTGGTGGGTGGGTTGCAATAGGAATTGTTTCAGAATGCCAGCACATGCTAAAATGCAGATTTCCTGGTTCATCCCATCACAGGAAGTCACCCTGTCTTTTTTACTCAGCGCCCCCATGGGCAAGACACCCAATACCTCCACCCTCTTGTTTTAGGCTTTCCATTATCTTCCTTAACACATTCTTCCTCACAGGTACCACTTTTCCATCTTCATTATACACATGTGGCAGCAGGCAGGTCAGGCTTGATCTAAAGGAGTATTCTGGATTCCAGCGCCATTAGAGCTTGCAGGATGGCCTGCACGTGGAAGATGGCCTTCCCACTGCAGGCAGAGACAGATTGACCTTAGACCGTGAGGAGTTTATGAGCCTCAGTTTCCCTGATTGCAAACCTCCTAGGGTGGGGCGAGTAGTTCATGAATGACTGGGTAAAGGACTCGCAGGCACAGAGGAAGCCTGGGCCTCAGCACTGGTCTTGAGGCTCCCCACCTCGCTGGCGAAGGAGCCACCGTGCCTGGGGCAGGATGTGGTGGGCGCACTGTGTGGACGAGGCGGGAGGCATCGGGCAGATGAGAGGGCGGAGAGAAGAGAGAGAAAACCCCAAAGGTCCGGAAGGCCGAGAGGGAAGCAGGGCACCAGCTGGAAACCGCGGCTATTTGCAGCGTCGCCCTAGGTTTGCGGTCAGGCTGGGGCTGGAAGGCCCGGCGACCCGGTTCGCAGCCCCGCCCGGTGTCCTCGGCCACCCGGACGAGGCCCTGGCCGATGAGTCCCTTTCGCGGCGACGTTGATGCTCGGGAGGCTGCTGGGTTGGGGCACCGAAGCCAGAAGGAGGACAAGGCCACCGGAGGAGAAACGTGTGCGGGCCTGGTAGGGTAAGATTCTGGGAAAAACACAGTGTGGGCGGGGCCCCGGCAGGTTGGGGTGGGCGGGGCCCGGCAGGTTGGGGTGGGCGGGGCCCGGCAGGTTGGGGTGGACTCACGTACTACTCGGGCGGGCAGCGCCCTCCACCTGCCAAACGAGGCAGCGCCCAGGACGGGCCGAGCTGGCCGGCGCCCCCTATCGGCTGAGGCCGGCAACAGCCCTCACCGACCGATGCCCGCAGGATCAGGTCCGGAACAACCGCGTGTGGGCGGCCCGGTCCGGGGCGGCGCTCTGGCCGCGGGGCGGGTCGCGGCAGCGGTGAGGCTCTCTGGGCGCCGGGTGGGCGCGAAGGATTACTAAAGGCTGCGGTTTGGCCAGGATTACGGAGCCGAGAAGAAAAAGATGCAAGCGAGGAGGGATGAAAAAAAAAAAAAAAAAAAAGACGAGGGAGAAAAGGGAAACACTAGATCCCGCGGGCGAGCTGCGGGCAGGAAGCCGACGCTTCCAAGCGCCCACTCGGCCAGAGGAGGGGGGGGGTCGTGGGCCCGTTGCACAGGCCGGCTCCAGGAGGCCAGGCGCCATGGGTGGCAGAGTCGGGATTCGAACCTGGATCTGCATATGGCTCGAGTGTTCGTTCACCTCCTGGACCAAGGAACCGGAGTAGGGGAGGGCGGGTTTGGGGGCTCGGATGAGAGGTCTCGGCTGCGGAGAAGGAGCGTTGTTAGAGAACAATCTGGGGACACCAACGGGCCCTGCTTCCGTCCTTCCTACTCCCTTCCAGCGCCCCCACGTGGAAGCTTCCGACCGACTCGTCGCCCCTCCTAGACCACCTTGTGCAGGAGGGTCCGGAGCTACGTGCTGGCCTCTGAGGACCTGTTCTTTGCATAGAGGGACAATACGTTCTTTCCATTGGCGGAGGGGTAATGTGACTCAGGTCACCCCGGAGTCCAGACCCGGGGAACATCAACTATAAACCCTGTGCTTGGACCTCCATTGCAACAGCTTGGACACACCTCTCTCCCTCACCCCATTACCTTACTGTTCCCCTTCATTGACGATGGATTTTCTTGACACAGCAGGGCATCTGCAGAAGATCAGGCACACGGGGCAGAACTGTCTCTATCCACACTGGGAGATGGAGCCCAGAACTGGGGTGGGCAGATATTTGCCCACATTTGGAGGATTTAACCCAAATCTCTCAAGCTCTTGGCATCTTTAATCCTGTTAGGCCGTCGGCTTCTGCCTCCCCCCGTCTCTGGAAGGGTCTAGAAAGTGTGTTACCAAGTCCACTGCCAGCAGATCAAAGTTTGGTGGTTGTTTTATTTTTGGTTCTTTTAACCTTTCTTTTATGTGTATGGGTGTTTTGTCTCCGTGTTCTCTGCCTGTGGAGGCCAGAAGAGGGCGTTGTGAACCACAATGTGAATTCTGGAAATGGAACCAGGATCCTTCGCAGGAAAATCGCTGTGTTCGTTCTTAACCGCGGAGCCATCTCTCAAGCCCCCCATCAGAATTTTGAGAATGATCACGAGGGGTGAACCCCTGTTCTCCACCACCCCCATCACCAGCCCTTCCCTCACTATCAGAGACGCAGGCTCAGGGGTGCAGAGCCCGGGGCCTTCTCTCGGCTCCTCTCCTTTTCTCTCACCCCTGCAGGGCCCCCCCTCACACACATTTCTTTTAAAGTCAGACACCACCAGGGAAAAAGGAACGCCAGGGTGGGTGCAAACCAAGAGAGTCAGAGCAGAGTGCTAAGGTTCAAACTATGACCTGGTCACTTAACCATCGGTGGCGACCTTAGATAAGCTGCTTAACTGTTTTGAACTTCCCTTACTGTAGCAGGGGGGCGGGGGGGGGGGGACAGGGGGCGGGGTTATGGAGGCTAAGATGATAACACAAGAACGTTGCACAGCATTTGTTTAGCTCGCTGTCAGCATGTAATAAATGGCAGCAATTACAGCCGTTAATAATATAATTAAACGACAACATCCATCTACATTCCCTGGGAAAGCCCAGATTAAGGAAAGTCACTGGGGCATTCCCTGATGTTTCGCCATCCGGTTGCTTCTTAAAGATGGCAGCAGGGTGCCTGCCACCCTCCTGTGTGAGGTCTCCTCCTCAGATAAAGTTCAGCACCCTAGATCTTCAAGGGCGGGCCCAGGGAAGCTGGTGAAGCCCTGTGTCAGGAGTTCTGGGTTCTAGCGCTGCCGCTTGCCTCGAGGGGACCCAAGGAACCTTTCTGAAGTGCTCATCTCTCCCAGTGCCTGCAAGCCTTAAGCCCTCTAATCTGACCCCATTAGTGAAGGGAGAGAAGCTCTGTTTAAAATCCGCCCTCTCTTCCTGGAGCCTGGTCTGAGTGCTGGAGGAGAGTGAACTGCTAATTGAAAATGTCTATAATGCATTGCCCCTGGTCTGCTGAACGGAGCCTCCAGCTCCCACTGTCTAGAGAAGAGCTTGTTACTCTTGCCTGAAAAGACTGGTGTGGAAACAGTGTCTTGGAGTGGGAGCCTGGGTAGACGGACTCAAGGGGGACCTGGGGCTATCCTTGCAGGACGTTTTTTGTCCTGCTTTTCCTCACCACTACCTGGACACCTAAGCTACCACAACTGGGCGGGGGGGAGGGGGGCAGCTGGAGATGAGGGGCTTCCGTGCTCTCCTGGTTCCTTCCTGGATCTGCCCAACCCTACTATGGTCTGAGGTGAACATGGAGCAGATGGGGAGAGCTGTGGGTTGGGAGAGAATTCCGAGCCGTTTCTGGCCTGTTGTGCGAGCAATTAGGACTGGGACAGGCGGCTGTGGAAGTTAAAGTCAAGACGCTCTGGGTTCTCTGGGTCTACTAGGGCTGGAGCTGGGATCTAGGCTCTTCCTAGTGTGCCTGATCCCTGTTCCTGCAGTTCTGACCCTGCAGATGCAGACAACCAAGGTTTAGTTCACATCCCATCTCTGCTCAGCTCTTAAGGACTACAAAATTTCTTTTCTTAAAAAAATTTTATATTTTATTTTACCCATACAGGTGTTTAGTCTGTGTATATGTCTATGGAGCACTTGTATGCCTGGTGCACATGGAGGCCAGAACAGGCATCAGATGACTTGGGACTGAAGTTAAAGAAGGTTGTGAGCCACCATGTGGCTCCTGGGAATCCAACCACTGTCCTCTGGAAGAGCAGCCAGTACTCTTAACTGCTAAGAGATCCTTGCAGATCCCTGTTTGATTTTGGAGACAGTCTCACTTTGCAGACCAGGCTGGTCTTGAACTCAATCTTTCTGTCCCTCTAGTACTAGGATTATAGGCATGTTCTACCATGCCCGGCTGAGCCTCTCTTTAAAAAAAAGTTCACGCCGGGTGGTGGTGGTAAATGCCTTTAATCCCAGCACTCGGGAGGCAGAGGCAGGCGGATCTCTGTGAGTTCGAGGCCAGCCTGGTCTACAGAGCGAGATCCAGGACAGGCATCAAAACTACACAGAGAAACCCTGTCTTGGAAGAAAAAAAAAAGTTCACAAACAAGGCTCTGGGGCTTCCAGTCAACCTGGGCCATACATGGCTCTTCAGCAGGTGTAGTAGAGTTTTGTCTAGAGCATGTGTGTGCCATATGAGGAGGAGTGGAGACAGGTCACTGGAATAGCTCAGGGATGACCTGGGGTGGGGCTGGGCGAGGCCAATCTTGAGCTAGAGAAGAGAGGGCTGAGCTCAGTGACAGCAGAGGGTGTCCTGGGTTTGAGGTCTGGAGGACAGGAAATGAGAGGTCCTGGGATGATGAAAGAAAATATGTCTCAAGGAAACGGGATGCCTGAGTGCTCTTCTGGAAATGCCTGTGACTGTCCAGGGGGAGGTGCATGGGGCTCAGAGAGCAAGGCATGGAGTAATGTGAGGCCGGTACACGGGGCTGTTAGGGAACACCAAGAAATCCCCCAAAGCCTGGGGAGATGGCTGTTTGAGGACCTGAGTGCAAATACCAAGAACTCACATAAAAGTCAGACCGGGTAATGTGAGTCTGCAATCCCACATGAGATTCGAGTCGGGGACAGGAGAATTACTAGAGAATTTCAAGGACAGACAGCCTGGCATGCCCTGTCAGGGTGGAAGGCAAGAGCTGACCCCTGAGGCTGTCCTCTGAGCTCTGAGACGAACACATGGTTGGGGATGGGGGGCAGGGGACGCCCAAAGAAACGTGAATGAACTGAAGATGAAGACTGTGAAGTGAGTCAATTAGAGTCGGTACAGCAGCTGGATAAAACTAGTGTGGGGGGGCGGGGCTAGCATAGTAGGATGTCTCTAATGTGATTGTATCTGTTTCATACCATGGAAAACGTGCCCATTTATAAACGGATACATGCAGATGCCATGGAAGTCGCAAACACTTCTGAGGATAGAGGATCCATCTGGGAAGCAAATTACCTATGGAGAAGGAGAGTGGGAAAGAGAAGGGATCTGGAAGGGACACAGGTTGGCTCCATTTTTCTCTGCAAAGGGTTGGTGTTTAATTTTTTTAAAATTGTGCACTTATGATTTGTATGTGTGTTCATGGGGCGGAGGCATGTCCACGCCACAGCGTGTGTGGTCGGAGGACAATGCACGGGAGCTGGTTTTCTCCCTCCATTGTGTGGGTCCCAGACACTGAACTCAGGACATCATCACGGTTGACAGCAAGCAGAGTCATTTTACTGGCCCCAGTTCGGGTGTGATTCTGGTTTTGCACACGTTGGTATGCCTTATACAATGAGTACGTTCTGGAAAAGAAGACTCCAGTGGAAGTCTGAAACCATGGAGGACAGCCTCCCATGTGGCTGGGACAGAGTGCTTGCCTGGCATGTCTGAGGCCATGGGTTTAGTCCCCGGCAATAAGCAGGGATGGGAGGGGATGATTCATTTCAGTGGCCTTATTAGCCAGTGCAGCTGGAGGGGTAGTTAACCCCGAGGCAGGGGGATGACCATGTTGAATTCCGCAGGAGTCATTGAGTCTCCAGCGCCCAGGGGCTGGTGGGCAAGAACAGTGTTGAGGCTTGAAGATTTGGGGAGACTAAAGCCA